CCTATCCCACCGACTGACCCCTTTTGTGTGCGAGTGTTTTGGATTTTCACCACAACCACCCCTATTCCACCCAGATGAGCACATCCAAAATTGAAGCACATTAAAAAAAAAAAAAAAAAAAAAAAAGAATCACGTGTAGCCCTATTGCAGCAGACAACGAAGCGCGCTCGCGTTGTGAGACATTCCGTCAACGAAACAGTTCTGTCTCTATAGCAAGCAAAACTTGGAGCACAGTAGAACCATTATTTCTCTTTCTTAAGTCTTTGAGTTATCTTTACTTCAATTCTCTTTGGGGTACCCCTTTCATTTTTTCTTGCAGCTCCCCTTTTACTATGCCTCTCACGTACAAGGCTGGCCACGTTGATTGTGGTTGAGCGCCAGCTGCCCACATCCCCGTGTGCCTGAGCAGCACACGCTTGCATGTTATAACAGGAGGCAGAGTAAAGGGGGAGGTATACTCCTGTTTCGTGTTTGCAGAGTGAAAGGAGAAGGGTAGAGGTGGTTGCGTAGGGAGGTATACCCCTGTTTCATTTTTTCAGAGTGAAAGGAAAGGGGACTTTCATAAAAAAAAAAAAAAAAAGAAGGGCTTTCATTAAATAAAAAAAAAAAGGTGGTTGCGTAGGGAGGTATACCCCTGTTTCAAATTTTCAGAGTGAAAGTAAAGGGGCCTTTCATTTAAATAAAAGAAAAAAAGAAGGGCTTTCATTATTTAAAAAAAAAAAACAGGGTCGAGGGAGTTGCATAGCGAACTGGACGACAGGCGAGGACAGCTGCTTTCATTTATAAAAAAGGAAATAAGAAGGGCTTTCATTATAAAAAAAAAAAAAAACAGGGTCGAGGGGGTTTGTATAGCGAACTGGACGACAGGCGAGGACAGCTGCCCTCCAAACATTTTTGAAAGCAAAAACAATTGTTTTTTTTTTTTTCTTCTTTCTCTGTTTTAACCTCCGTTTTAGGATCATTATTAAACCAGCAGTACATTTCCCAGCCATCTTTCCGGAGATGCGCCACTTTGGCTGGGATGTACCAGCGCATCTTTTGATATGACTGAGTTGATGTGAGGTGAGCAAAACGGGCCTCGTGCCTGCTACCACGTTGGCTGGGATGTACCAGCGCATCGCACACGAGGCCCGCTTTGCTTGCCTGGTTGCCTGGATGCATGTCCAGCGACACGGCAGCATGTAGGATGCGTCGCTAAACAAATGGCCAGGGACAAGGTCCCACTTGCACGGATTAAGAGATTCTGGCCGTTGATCTTTTCTATCTACGGTCAATATCGCTCAATTCGTGTCGTGGGACCTAGTAGCCCTGGGGAACGCACTGGTGGTGTAAACCAAGAGTACATCCAAAAAAGCAGATTGAGCCTCTCCTGAAAAATAGGAGGGGATGGATGGACGATTCGTTTTATTGACGATCCATTGGGTGCCTCCGGATTTTTCGGAGACGCTCAATCTGCTTTTTCGGATGTGTACTGGAGGAGAAAAGGTAGTGGTTGTGTTGTGAGTTGGATGTGACGATTTATTTTATTAAATTTGAGGTGTTTTTTTTTTTTTTTTTTTTTTTTTCAGGTTGTGAAATTGGCACCCAATCAGGGCTGCCATGGGATTTGTTGTTGTTGTTTTTGGAAAGTAAGCTATATCTTTCTCTCATATATCTCGTCTTCTTGCCAGCACTTATCTATCTCCTCTCGTTAGTCTATGTATAGTAAGGGGGACCACCACCCAACCAGACCTGGAACCCTCCCCAGCCCATGGGGTAGTAGGTTGGCACCACAGCTGTGGTGCGAGAGCAAGGCTGTACCAGTCCCTCGTCGTCATGGTGACGAGGGGTGGGCAGGCAGGCATTGCCGATGGGGGAAATCGGCGGTTCCATGGGCACGCAGTTTTAGGAAGTTTGTCTAGTGTATATATGTGGAGGGAGCCGGAACTCTCGGGACTTTTGAGTCTAGTGTAGTGGAGCGAGACCCAATGTTGTGTATGGAGGCTCGATGCTTTCTTTGTGTTTCACCACATGACCCCTTGGACCCCAATATCATTCATGTTGTTAAAACTGTGTTTTTCACAATCCAACATGGCAAACAATCTTTTCTGTTTTGCAGTATTTTGCATCTGTGATATCTGGAGCACTAGTACAACCTTCTTAATATATTTATTTGCAAAAATGTTGGGAGCAAGCGCGCCCACCAGAAGCCCCGTATAACCAGGGAGTCCAGTCTTGGCCACTGATTAGGACTTGGCATCGTGGAGATGGAAATGCGCTCATAGCAACACTGTAACATCCTCAACTCCGCACAATGTCATGCTGTATTTCACACATCCAATAAAGAGAAGACAAACCTGGAAAAGAGCCCTATTTTCTGTACCGCAAATTTTCCATGGCAATTTTGTGAAGCGGGTCACTCTCACTCTACTAATAACGATGATACATTGCAATGGAGAAGCCCTATGTAATTGTCCGCGTGCACACGAGAGAGAGAGAGAGAGAGAGAGAGAGAGAGAGAGAGAGAGAGAGAGAGAGAGAGAGAGAGAGAGAGAGAGAGAGAGAGAGTCTGCGGGTGCCTTTGCACGCCTGGCGAGGTCCTTGGCTTCTAGATTGACTAGATCTGTCAGTAGCTCTTGCTAAGTCGTATGGTCCTTGAGTCCTAACCGGGAGACATAACCTTCAGGTGCCACTCCCATTCTATTAATTATTTTAGACTTATCATCAATAGACTATAAACAAAAGAATAAGGAATACCAACCCCTCGTTTGTTGTCCTCTTCTCCCTCTCTGCCTACGGTTTACCGGGCAGTTCTATTTGACGATATATATTATGAATCTATTTATTATAATAAAATTATATATTATTTCTATTATTAACTTAATTCTCTACTACATCCATGCAAGACACATCAGTCCATGCCAGGTTTGGAGTAGTGAACAGACCAGTCAAGTGCTGCTCCAAAGCCTGCATGGAAGTCCTCCACTTTTGGCCCTTGAGGGCCTCAAGCTTCAGCCTTGCCTTGAGCGCAGCGTGCTTATCTTGATACTTTGCGATGAGGAGGTCCTCAAGAGTACATACAGGAGTGATACAGTGTACATATCGCCACTTGCAAGTTTCAACAGACAATGTGAAAGTGATATGGTAATCAGGTTGGCCCAACCTTTGCCTTTTCTGAGTTGTTCTCCATGTACAACTTAGTTTAGTTTTCCCCAGCATGAGTGAACCTGGACATGCAGGAGAGGAATTCCAGTTTCGAACGTGGACGGCCAATCTCTAAGAGTTGTAATTGAATCTACCGTATCGGTGACACTGGGCCCACTTTCCAGCAATTGCATGCTCCAGTTTGTAATTGTAATGAATCCAATCTTCGAACGCTTTGCTGAGGAGCTGCAATTGCTGGAAAGTGGGCCCAGTGTTGTGTTTTGTTTTGGAACAAAAGCTCCAATCGATTCGTGGCGAGCATCACGTGCTGAGAACCGGGCTCAGCGTCCCTTTGAAGTACAACTAAGAATATAGAACTCAATTGAAGTTCCGGGGCCATTTACTTTTTTTTTTTTTTTTTTTTTTTTTTTTTTTAAGACGAAACAGCTCCATCTATTGGTGGGGAGCAACACCTGCTGGAAACCGGGTCCAGCGTCCCATAGATTTGATGTTGGCAGATAAAAAGTGGTAGTTGCCATTTTGGCCAAACCGAGCATCATCGTTGATTGCCCTCATGATAGGGGATTTACAAACTGTGATGCTGGAGACTTGCCTTGCCTTTCATCCCACACACACATAATAATTATGAATCCGCCTCGATGCCGGTATTCTAGACTCCAATGATTGTATTGGTGAAAAAAAAAACAAAAAAAACTCGTCTAGACTATTCTCCCCCCATTACCTTGGGCAGAAGTACTATCCCTCCCCCCGCTCTCCCCCCCACCCACCCATTTTGTCATGGAGGCCAGTCTTGTCTTAATCTGAAACAAAGGGAAGGGGATAGTCCATATTTCAAGTAGGCTGGGTTTCATAAGAGGACTCTGGCAGCTTGTTTTAAACCACTAGTACCTTTCGCATATATCGGCCGCAGGCATTTTCAAAGGTCCAAAACGGAAACCAGGCCACAGGTGAAATTTCTCATAGGCGGCCCTTTCTTGCTTGGCTTCCGAATATACCGGCACGGTTCTGTTTTCAAACGGGGAAAGGTACTGGTGGTTTAATCTTGCCTGTTGTCCTTGACTAAGGGGCCAAATTGTGACTTAGAACCAAATTGCAACTGAGTTGCCAGACGGTCACTACCTTTCACAGGCAAAGTGTTGAGACACCAAAAGACCACTTTCCCACGTTTTTCGGGGGCACAGTGCTGCTGCACCAAAATGACCGGCGGCGCCAGCCACAGAAAAAAACGAAAGGCTGCGCTGCGGCTTTGGCAAAGCTTGTCGTGGAGTTCTTTTCCACCTCGGCGAAAAGAGGCTTGGATGTGGTGGTAATTCAAACTACCAGTAAAAAAAAATAAAGCCACTACAGGGGGCCAGCCTCGTGGAGATTTGCTTGTCGCCTGCTCGGAAAATTTTGCGCCTCAGGCTAACCACTCTGGTAGCCTAGTATATATATATATCGTCATATATATCGTCACAAACAGAACTGCCCGGTAAACCG